TTTTGCACAGAAAACCACCGTCACTGTTTTTACTCACCCTGACATGTTCCTGGTACTCTTTTAGGTTCTGTTCAAAGTATTCCTCTTGTTGTTTGGAGACGGTTTCCCGATTCGACTCCAGTTCTGCCAACTGACATCACAGACATGAAACATTTGTCATGTTTAGTAATCTTAAGTGGGGCATAAGTTGATAAACAAGAACTCTTTTGCCGAAAGCATCAGTACTATAAAATGGAGTAGTAGCATGTTATCAGCTGTAAACAACTGGCAGGGTACATTCCAGTTTTTCCAGGACGATCCGCGATGAAATAAGAATTTCGGGTTGGATTGTGCGGTGCTGCCATCTCTTGGATAAATCAGGGCTTAGTCTCACTTTTTTATCCACGCAGCACAGTTAACTGGATCACCTGTAGGGAACAGAGTATTACACAAAAGGGCGGGTGGAGGCAGGTATGTGAAGGAGGGGCCATAAAAATTCCCTCTGAGCAAACCCACCCTTTCCTCCAGCTCCTGAAACCCGTCCAAGTCTCGCTGCTGTTTCTGGATGGTCTTTTCATTGTCTATCAGCTTCTCTGCTGCCTCAGTTAGCTCTTGCTCCAAACGGGTGATTTCCTGCAAATCAATGCAATGCCATGATATATACAGTCTTTTTCCTCAGGATACAGAGTGCTCAGAAAATGACCAAGACAATACAATGACACAGATAGAAGTGAAAATAAAAATGAACACTGCCGGGTCAGGACAATGGCAGTGAGATGGAGGCATGTGGCCATGTGCCATTGAAGGGCACTGCAGCAATACTGATCCGAGACATAAACTTTAAATGCCAAAGAGGTGGCAATGTGAAGCAATGGACAAAAATTCTGAAATATGAAAGCAATACACAAAATTACAGTGTGTCATTACAATGTTTTCAAAACCAAAAAACACTAATGCAAACTTTTCCAAAGGAAATACAGGCGTGAGCTTTCCTTTCAGAGCAAAATATGGTTAGCGATACCTGTGGACAATTTCCAACCATGCCAGCTTTGATTTACATGTAGTCTTCAACATAAGGAAGCTCAAAGTACAAAGAATGGTTATGCTGCATAGTGTTGCATTTTGGCAGGTATATGAAATCTGCAAACACACCAGAGGGATGAGGATTAGAAACCGAGAAAATCCAGCAAAGTTTACCAACCTTCTGCATTTCGGCGAATCTCTCTCGCATGCCAGCATCCCCTGACTTGATTTGGTTGATCTCGTCTTCAAGTCGCTGTCTCTGCTTGGCGGCCTGGGTGGCCATCTGCTGTCTCTCCTTCTCAATCTCGGCCTGCATCGCCACCAGCTTCTCCTGGTGCTTCCTCTCAGCAGCCCTGGTCAATTCACAAGAGGGAACTTTTGTGTTGGGAAAATGCTACTTTTTCGTTTATATTAACAATAAAAGCACAACAATAAAATATTAAAAACGGAAATTAACACCTCCATTACGCTCACATTAATTACGCTAACATTATACTTATGAATATGTTTGGCATAGTACTTTCAGCTCACTGGATTTGAACTGCACGGTTGACCCCCAGCAAGCTTGTTGGTCAAGTGGTAAGCAGGAGGTAATGGGTTCAGTTCTCATTGCTTTAAGCTTGTAAATATTTCTAAAAGCCCTCGGACAACACTGAGTATACAGTTATTAAACAAACATACGTCTGTGAAGAAAAAAACTTCCAATATAAAAAAGAGAGAGTCCAGTTTTGGAATCAGCTCATCACAGGTTACAGACTGGATCTTATATATCCCAGTTGCAGAAGAAATCTAGATTTGTTTTGCCTTCTTGAGAGGAGACTAAATCACTGAATCATTTTTCTGAATTGCTTTTGTTGTTATTGAGTTACATACGGCTTATAATTGTGGTTGTGGAAGTAAACACTATGATTAAAAGGATTGGCAAGAAACAAATTGCACAGAAGTGATGTTAAAAAAAACATACAGAGGGGGGGTCCCTGCTAATTTGACCCTTATTAAGAGCATTTCCTTCCTACAAAGACACTTGTCCTTACTGTAGTTTTGCCTCATTGGTCTTGATGATGTTAGCGTGTGTTTCATCAACCTCCTTGACAAGCATGGCATTACGCTGGTTGGCCTCATTGGTGTCTGCTCTCAACTTATTTCGTTCATCTGTCAGGGCATCAAGTTGGGATCTGATTGGCGATGGAGCAAATAAACATGGGTTGTCACTGAGAAAAATCTCTTCAGTCTGATGTTGGTTAAGTTTTCTCAAAAACTATGCGTGATTCACAATACAGTATGGCACCGAGACATTGCCACGGAGATATCATTTGTAGGGAACAGTTGAACAAATCGCATGAACTGTGTTGAGGAACTTGAATTATTCACGAATTTTGTTTGTCAGGGTTTAAAGATTTGTAAGTATTAAGAGTTTTCATAATTAGTCCTTTACATTGTACAGAATGTCTTGATCCATCAGTTTTCCTCAAGGTGTCTACTGTCAGCTTGAAATAAAACTCAATAAAACTGTCAGTTTTAAAAGTTGAAAAATGGTCTCTCTTAAAACTGCAATGCTGCCCTTACATATACATGTACATATAATGGGCCAAACCTGCTTTACCCATCAGGTGCGCAACCATGTATTTATTTTTGACCTGTGGGTCTAACATTATGCATCACTTTCTCAAACATGAAATGGAATAGATCACTTCACTGGAGAGCTTTTGTGTATTTTATACACTTCATGAGTGTGCCTGTGGAGTTTAAATATGAATTCCAAAATCATAAACCTGTGTTTGACTTTGTCATTGATCCATTCATCTAGACCTCTATTCCCTTTCAAGCGGATAGAACAACTTCTAAGACGTGAATGGAATTGGAGAGCACCAAAACATGTTCTCTGTCCAGGCTTCACAGGCAAAGGTAACATTTTTGCTTTTGTTCCATTTCTGGAACTCAATCTTACTTGAGGTGTGTGAGTTCCGCTTGGTATGATGTCAGTGCAGCTTGATATATTCCATTGGTGTCACCTGTTGTCATTAGCACGTGCTCCAGGGCAGTTGACAGGTCTGACAGACTCACCTTACCTGACGCGGTGTCAATATCTAAATTCTAAAATGGTACAAAAAAGTACAGAAAAAGTTGTTTGAACATGTGCTTTTAGTGTTTCTCAGTTCTCTATGTTTTTGAAGAAACAGAACGTCAATTAAATTTAACTTGTCAGGCAACTTCTCAACTGTCTATGTTTGTGAAAAAACTCGTTTGTGAAAACAGAATTTCAACTAAAGCAAAATCATAAGATATTGTCACATGCTGATACATTATGTGTTCCAATTCCAATTTGTATGCCTTTAATATACGTGTACACAGCAGAAAAAAAGCACCCAAGTCTGGTCACACTTCAATGAACTCTGTCAAAGCGGACTGCTGCAAACAACAAATGGAGACTCTACTCAAATTTTCACCACGTAAGATTACATGGCAGTTTTGATTCAAACAGATCACACTTTGATTTTCAGATTTAATCAACTTTCAGCACAAGCAAGTAATTTTCCTCTACCATGTCTACCTTGATCCCTCAAATGAACTCAAAAAGCCATACTCTTGAGATAATGAAAAATGCACATGAAAAAAATCTAAATGACAATCTAAGCAAACTTCAGAAATGATCTCTGACCAGAGAGTTGTGAATGTTGGCATACTCACTTGCAGGACTTCCACCGGGTTCTGAACACCCTGAGTGGCAAACTGCTCAACAATATCATCTGGACCGGCATACCTAAAGCAACAGGAATAATAAAAATGCAAACCACTGAAAACCAAACATCAAATGGAACAAATTTCTAAACCCATGTACATGCACAACTACAGTTCTGAAACTATAGATCTGTTTTATGGTCGAACCCACACCTTCACTGTACATGTACACCATGGCTAAACACCTTACAATCCCTAGTTCCCTACCCGTCTGCTTGCTCTTTAGCTGCCGGCCTCAGTTCTGCTGCTGCGGCTGGATTTTTCTGCTGGAAAGGCAGAAAATCCTGGAAGTACTTCTTGAACATTTTTTGTGATACTTACTAAAGCCTTATCAATGATATGCATGCAATGGTACATGTGCGTTCCATTTGACGCACAGCGCAAACCAATGATTCTCACTTTATCTCACTTTATTGATAAACCATGCCAAGGGTTAAAATATCCAGTGCTAAATATGCATGCATACATGTATTCAATTATATCTATGCACTTGTACTTGCGCACCTGTCATTTGAGCCTCCAATACAATATCCAAGCACTGCACAACATATGTTTGTATTGTACTGGTCAATGGGAGACCACATGTGGTGCAAATGTTTGTTAATATGCAAATGAGACTGCAGATTGTCAACATTTTCACGCAGCTTGTCTGCACACAAGCAGTTAATTCAAACCCCTATTAAAAAGCATACATACATGTACATGTAAGCTGGTGGGTGAAACTACATGTGCCTCTGTCTTGTATTTGCATGTAGATTTTAATTACAGATACCTACAGTAATGCGTACAAGTTGCAAATAATGAGGAACATTTCCATTATGCACGTACTACGTGTACATCAGCCATGCACATGTACATAAACATACACCAGGAACACACTTCCTGTGTTTTAGCCAAGAAAATTGTGAAAATCTACAGTGCTTGTAATGAAAAAAGGGAAAAATGTGGGCCCCAACAGAGAAAATGATAACTTAGGATAACATTCCTTCATGTGATCAGCACACAGGATTACTGGAATGTTTAATGATTACCAAAAGAAAGAACAGTCTTTAATTTTTAACTTTGCCCAATGCGCGGTGCATGTACATGTACTATATTTGTACGTGTATTATGAATGTACTTTGCTAGGTGCATACATGTACATATATCTGTATATATAGGTATGCTCCTGACACAAGCACATGATGCATGCATGCACGTTTTACACCGATTAAAACCACACCTAAAAATTGGAATTTCAAATGGGAATCAAATGGTTCCAATTGGTCTGCTTTCTCTCTGTTTGTTTTCCTCAATCAACTGAAAATTCAAATGGGACTCAACTGGTTCCAATTGGTTTGCTTTCAGCTTGTTTCCCCCATCAAATGGATTTTTCAAATGGGATTCAATTGGTTTGAATTGGTATTGAAAATATTTCAATTGGTTCTTCGGTTGGTTACAATTGGATTGTGAATTGGCATTCAAATGGTGTCAATTGGTTTGAAATGGTCCAACTGAGAAAAGGTCCAAACTTGCTATTCAAACCAATTGAATCCAATTGGATTCCGATTGATTCCAAGCAAAAGCAATTGGTTTGGGAATTCGTTATTGAATTGGTAAATGAATTTGAACCAATTGGTATGTGAATTAGATCTAATGGGTATTACAAGTGAATTGGGTCCAATGGGTAAGTGGATTGGTCTCAATAGGGGGACATTTTCAGTAGGGTGGCCAGACATGAAATCACAATAAATCTTCCCAAAGCACAGATGCACCTGCTATCCTATAGCTCCTTTGCAAGCAAATAGGCTATTACAATCTACCAATGCATGAAGCTAATAATGCAAAGTGTAAGTAGGGTAGCCAACTGATAATAAATGTATTGGTTGGACCGTTCTGTCCGACAGCTACCCAATATAAATTTTGAAATGGTGCCTAATTTGGGGGGCACTCATAGCATTATCATCACAGTTCTGTGGTTGACACTATGAATCCAACATCTCTAGAGAAAGCCATCAAGCACAAATGTGCACAAGAGCAGGGACTAGGCTTCTGAGCACATTTTGTACACATCACTACTTGTGCAATCTCTGGACATATTAACAAGTTGGTATTTTCCACTAAAAAATATAACTGTTACCGGGGCAAGTTACAGAATAATACCATTCGCAAGAAGCTTTGACTGAGAAAGTGCTGGCCAGGATGACTCACCCTGTGTTGTTGGGATCCAGCATGGATAGCAGCTTGGTGCCGGGCACCAGCAGAAACGATGGAGTGGCCGTCCGGTAGATCGGATCGTCCATGGAGCTGCCCATCATGGACATGCGCAGCTTGGCTTTTTGGGCAGTGGACAGGGCGCTGGGCAGCGGGGTGGTTGGTGGTCGCGGACCCTCGTGGCGGAACAGACCTTCCAAGAATTCCTGGAAGCCCACCTTGCCGTCCTGGTCGACGTCCAGCTTGTTGAAGAGATTGTTCAACTCCTATCACGACCACAAGCATAAAAAGAAAAGGAGAGCCACATTAGTGGATTTGGCTTCCTACTATAATTCCACCTCTGAAATTTCACTCTAGACAGTTCAAGCCATGAGGAAGGATATCAGTGGTACAACGCACTAAAAAGCTTTGACAAAAAAGTAATCTGCAGTGCGCATATGCGCAAACCGCAATGGTCATCTGCTTACGGAGCATTCAGGCAGGGTTAGATTGGAGAAAAATAATATATCCACAACGTAATCAACAGAGGATTTGAGGGCCCTACAGCAGTAAAGGGTCTGTGGTATACATAAATCTGTGTTAGCTTACATCTATCAGCACCCCTTAAAATATCCTTTTGGGGGTTTTGTATCAACTTTTAACGGCAAAACATCTTAATTGACATATCAGCAATTTCCAAATTGTTAAATAATGAAAACTGGCAATATCCTGATAAAAATTCCTGAAATCAGGAAAAAATTTGGACTAATCTCAACCCTTATTCAGGTTTTGATGCATTGGCTGTGATCAGGCACTTGTATGAAAAAGCGTTCAAAAAAACCAATCTGACTTTTGAGCTTGATGCAAGAACATGGATATGCCAAATAGGCTTCACTTTGCACAGCAAGCTACTGCTATGATATAGCTCTACAGTACAGCATGGTTTCTTGCCAACTCTGAGTCAGGATCACTGCCTACTCACCTCTTCATCCATATCCTCCATGCCGATGTGTTGGCAGACAGTAGCCAGCTCCCTGATATCCAGGAATCCGTCCTGGCCCACGCCCACCTCGTCCCAGATGGCCTGCACCTGGTCGGCTTCGGTGGGCGCCGCCTCCATCAAACTCATCGATGCATTCATCTGACCTGAGGGTGCAGGTGAAGAAGATGCAATCGTATACGAGATATTCTGATAATAAACTGATCTGGTATTCCGACAGAACACACACAAAGCGAAGTGTGCCACGGTTCATTTGGAATGATCAATATGTGCGGGCCAGGTCTGCCCTTTCCAGCGTAGTCGTACTCCAACTCAAATACAGTTAACATGTTCAAAGTGGCCCGACTTCAAATAACCGTACATTCCATCCTATGACCTTGAATCATTGGAATACCAGCTTGCCTTATTAGCCTGCACAATTTGTGAACTGTACATGCAAATAACAAACTTAACCAATTTAAAACGTATACAAGCACATACATGTACAGGTCTAGTCGAAATATGTTGACGGAAAATGCCACATCCTGAGGCATTCATGCACAATTAGAAATGTTATTCACACAATGGCAATTTAAAAAGAAAAGCTAACAATCACAAACAAAATCCCGAAGAACTTGCCACTTCAGCATGACAATCACAAAATTTACTTTAAGCAATTGACTCATTCGGCACACAAAAACGTTTTAACTTTGTTTCATCATTGATTCAACAATGAAATGATTCTGTGTGATCATTTCAGGCATTGTGTGCCTAGTCAGTCTAGATTATTACCACATATATTAATGGGCAGAGTGACCCTTCCCTGCTGGTACAGCTACTTTTGTCCAAATTCAACTTCAAATATCTCAAGTTGGCAATGACAAATGTTAAATTCCATTGGTACAAACACGTTTTAGAACCTCTAGTTTATGTCTGTAATCAATTGAAATTTTTCACAAGTGTTTTATTCCATATGCTGGAACATTTAAGAAAAGCACCCCGTAACATGGAAACACCCATACAATCCATTGCAGGCTGCTAGAACAAGCCTTGTGATTGGACAGATTGCACAAGATTTGTGACATAATAGGCTGTCCCAATATGGTAATATTCCAGACTACTAGTGGGGTCTCCTGCGAGATATTTTGAGCCAGAATCACGATGGGACACTTTCTTTTCCATGCAGAATACATTCTCTCTGGTTTCCCAATTTTCCTCTATTTACAAAGATGTACTTCTTGTTTGGGAGACGTTAATTTTTTTACCCAGAATTTTCCCTTACACTAAAGTATTTTCTTCACACTGATATTCACAACACTGAACATAGAGTTTTATGAATATTCACTGATGAAAGGACAAAATCAAATAGTAAAAGTTTTTCCTCTCATTTTACATACGAACCTTCAGCTTCAAAAGTCTCGTGAACAATCGTGGGTATGTCTCGTTTGCTTGCCGACGATCCCGCTGTCTTTTCTTCGTGATCAAACACGCTATCTTTATTTCCGTTGTCATCAAAGCTCTGCAAAATGAGTGGAATGGGGTTGGAGAAATGTGACAAAAGTGACTCGAGTCTAATTTTACAAACTCTTGACTTTGATGAACTCCAGACTGGAAGGAGTTTCAATAGATGGGCTTATAATGTAAGACCTCGCTGGAAAAGGTTTCAGTTCCTGCATTGCTCCAGGGCAATTCTATGTAGGAATGCCTCCTTCTATTACCAAACTCATTATTTTCCAAAACTTAATTTCCAAAACTTACGGGCAAAATAGCTAGTGCAAAAAACTTTTATTTTCACGTTACGAATCGTGTGTGCATGTACATGTGCAGTGTTAAACAGACTAAGGGAATGGAATACTTCCATTTTTGCAAGGAAATGCGCAGCAAATAAATAATTTAGTCTAAATGAGAGTTAAAGGGAAAAAATATGTATTTGAGAATGGACGCTGATACCATCCTCAGCCAAAGGCATGGGATATCATCTTTTGAGTCAAACAAGTCAAATACAACCTTCCAATTATTTGGTTCAGCAAGCACCTCTCCAGCCATATTATGATATGTTCCTCTTGTACATGTAAGTAGTCATTAACAATCTCCTTATATGGAGATTGGCAAGTATACAGTGTACATTGCATGGGCGGCAAAGAATGTGAAGACTGTGAAGTTCAACCAATACAAGTAAAGGGAAAAGGAGCAAATTTCATTGGCGTCTAAATTTCCTGTGCCATCAGAAGACTGTTTTCACCAGCCAGCTGGTGCTTTATCAACCATTAAGGAATGCCAAGTAATGGCTCTCGACCAATGGGAACAGCTAAATTGTCTCTTAGGTATGCATGAATGGCACTTAAAATGTCACAAAAAGCATGTAATATGGAACACATTTCCTTGGAATGACATGTCAGTACGCCTCTGAAAAGGTGTCATGTGCTACGGAGTTACAGGTTTACACAAGCTTCCAATTTGATTCGATCTCTGCACGCCCTACCCTACCTCACTAATGTCATCAGCAAACGACAGTGACTTGCTGGCTTTCCAGCTCCTGTCAGACCTCCTGGACCTTTCGCTGCCTCTCTCCTCCTTCCCTCCCCTGGATGTGTCGTTCCCCCCAAAGTGACTGCTGAAGTCCGTCTCGATGTCGGAGTAGTCGGCCGTGTAGCTGAGGTCGAAGTCCGGCCGTGACCGCCGGCCGTATTTCTTATTGCCCTTGACATATTTGGGGGAGACTTCAAGTTCTTCAGCTATAGACACTGTAAAAAAATTCAACACAATGCGTACAGAAAAATAATTTTAAACGCAAAAGACAAAAGTTGCTGAGATCAAGTGTAGTAAGTCAACACGTCACAAGTAACAGGGAGAAGAATGTTAGGAACCGGTTTTGAATTATCAAACTGGGTACCGACTAACCTCTCCAAGAGTGGAAAAGGAAATTTTGTTGTTGAGAAATTTCACATAAACAGTGCACAAATTTTGGAGACTGTAAAATGGAAACTCACTGGGTCTCAAACTCACTGGCTCTCATTCCCCACTGCTGACAACCCAGACAAAAGAACAGCGGTAATTTCATAACTTTCTGATTTCTAGTGGTTGATGAGGATGAATATGTGGATCAGATGAGATTCATTTTTTTCTTTGAATAATGGAATGGGTCCCTAAACATTCTTCTTGTTATCACTATCATGCTGGTAACTTCCGTTCCAGAACAACCCTTTACAAATTTGAAAAAAATTAATTTAACCCTAAAGGCCTGGGCCCTTTTCACAGGATACACCCTCAGCCCTACAAAACCCTCAAACTGCCCCAATGAAAAAATGGGGTACAGCCTCAATTCTCCAAAATCTCCCAATATTTCTCAAATATGTTCTGTGGAAGGGTGTCCACTGCCTCAATCCTTCAAAATTCTTTGGTAATTCCTCTGATTATGTTCAGGAAGTGTGAATGGTATCCTGGAGCAGTATGGGGGATTTCAAACATATTTGTGGGCGTGAATTTATGTATGGCTGAACAAAACAACGCAAGGTCTAACCCACAACCTTGAGACAATGCATCCTTTGCAATCAGCAATGCAATTTCGCCATCAGTGATGGAGCCTCAATCCTCTAAAATCCTCAAAAAGTGCCCGGAGATTTGGGATGGTTAGGGTTATTAATGATTTAGCATACTGACGGCATACAGGAAAAAGTGTTCATTCCTGTGACTTATCAAACTGCAAATGAGCCCTTCTGGGCTTAAAGTGGGCTGATCTGCACTGTACGCTCGGCAACATTTGAGAAAACTCCACCAGTGACCCACCTTCATTGATGCTTCCCACACTGGCATTATCATCTGCATCACTCAGGCCTTCAATGTTATCCAGATCCACAGCACTGGACAGGACCATCACAAAGCCCTCCTTGAAAGTATCAAAATTCACCTGCCAAGGAAAAGCAGCAAAGTGTGACCCATGCTAATGAAGAGACGGCAACTGTTATGTAGATCTAGGATGGTCCTTTGTTTCAATATACTGTCCAACCTTCAAAACGACTGCACTAAATAAATGTACATAATGTGTATCATTTTAATACCTCACTTGCCTCACGGTGTATGGATTTGCACGGACAGCAGCTCTCAATACAAAGAGCACTGTTGTAACAAAACACATAAATGCACATACACATACTGTTGTGCAGAGTAAATGCAGACTGTCCCGATCTCTTGAATTGTTTGGCTTTGTTTTCTTTTGGTTTATAACAACTTTTTTTGTTTTATAATGATTTGGCTGACCAGTCTCTCTAGTTTTGTTACAAAGCAGGGGTCTGCTATACATGTACATGTATGTGTACAAAGTTGTACTGCAAATGCACACAGATGTATGTTTTAATGTATGTACAAACACGGCCTTCTTCTTTCCAACTGAAAAAAATTCTTCAGTTATTTGCACTTGATCGAATTTTAAAGACTTACTACACATAGCTGGGAAACTAAGCACAGGTACAACACTTGTTAATATACAGAACAAAAGGAGCATAGAGGTACCATAGAAGTACTAGTAAGAGAACTACATCTTCCGCTTTTGGCTTTTAAAATTATACACAAAAAGGTAACCCTTAACAAATCATAGTCAATATTTTCCCCCAGTTTTTGTCCACGTGGTAGGAAATAACTGTATGGTATTTTTTTTTTATTTGCCTGAGGAACTTGGGCTAACATCCCAAGATCCCGCAAGTACATGTACATACCAGCGTTTTGGTGCTGTCTCCCACAAGGTACCTGAGAAGTTCCTCTGCCTGGTCCTCCAGCTGTAGTTTGGAGCACAGCTCCTCCAGCTCCACCCGGTTCAACATCCCGAGGCCCCCCGCATCGCAGCTGTCAAACACCTCCTTCAGCTGGGACACGTACATGTCCTGGTCTCCCGAATCATCCATATCGTCCACGTGCTAGATTTAGCTCGTCCTCAGGCCTGGACTTGACCCCTGAATGTTTTGTCTTTTTACGGAGCGAGCATCTTTAAGAGGCTTGCTTGGAGCACAACATGCTGGTATTGCTCCCTGGCGTGATGTGTGGCACCACTCACGTTGACATTGTGGACTGCTCTGAAAAAAGGAAGATGTCACAGTTGAAGTTTACAACATAGGCAGTGCTGGTGCTTCCATTGTTTAGACCATTTGATGGTGGGTGGAGGGGGGCGGGGAGTGGAGGAGGGGATGGGGGGAGGGTTGAGGGAACTCAGCTGTCCCATGTCAGATCTTTATGAAACTTTCCATGCAAGCAAAGACAGTTGTTATGTACATGTACATGTACTCTGTCCCTGTTACTAGTGTGCACGTTATGGACACAATACACTGTCTTGCGGAATCTTACATACATACTGTTTAACACAGTGAATTGTTTTGGTGTATCGAGGTATTAAACACTGCTGTGGGGATTCAAAAGCACAATGTTTGGGTAAGTAAATTGATTGTAATAATTACTTGCTATTATGATATACTCTTTGTTCATGCTGACTATGTGAATATGCAGCATTCCAAGCACAAATATGTGGTAAAGTGTGCTTAGCAGGTTCATACTGTAGTAAGCAGCAATCCTCAACAATGGGATGTGAATGTACTGTTATAAGGGGAAAAACAGGACCAAATACATGTGACAAACGTGAAACTTTTGCATCACAAGTGTTGAAAGATCTTGGAGATTACCACCAAACTGCCAAATGTTAAAAAAGTTGGTACAGTAGATGTCCATGTCCATGTATGCAGAGTCCTGGTTAAACTTTAACTCTAGACCAAACCCTCATGCAAAAACACATACATGTAAGTGCTAATGTTCAGAAAAAAAAAAACAAAGAGAAGTGAACACTTGGGTTGGGATTTAGGGATAATTTAAAAAATGACAATGAACTGATGAAGTTAAGAGACATTCATACTGAGAAGACATGGTACATGTACATGTACCATGTATATACCGGGGTATGTGTATGAAACATGTACATGTACACTACTCCATGGATGCACTGGAACTATTAAAGTACTGTACTTGTATCGATCCACAAGTGCTTGGCCAAAAACATATTTTCCTAGTTTTTCCAACAATCAGTCGATGTGTTTTATTGTCACAATACTACAAGTGACACTTTGCTCACTAATCCCTGCGCTCTTCAAACCTTTTATACAAAGAATCAATATAATTCCAAAGATCAGAGCTGTGGAAAATCCTTTAATCTTGTCAGCTTTACAGCAGCCTATTAATCCTGCTCAATTATTCATCTAGGTGGGGGTTCTTTGGCTTTCCTCTGTGCTCTATAACCCCTACCTTCCCTTTGCCAACCACTAAAAGGTACTTGTTAAATGTTGGCAAATGGCCAATGATAGTATTGCATCTGTGCTTCCTCCCCTATGAGGCATGCCATTTGTTGGATGTGGTATGTGACATGGATCACTCTTGCTGGGCATTCCTTAAAGTGGGCCTTCATGAATACGTGTACAATGCACATGGATGTCCCTTTAGTGTACTGTACCGGTACTTTCCCAGTAAGTCACAATTAGAGACATACATGTAAGAGAGGGTAGATGTATGATGGATCCCAATCTTCCACTTGACTTTCCATTTTCATCCACGTTTTTATGATTTTTTCATACCCCATCCCCAATGACCACCTGAACTAATCCCCCAAAACTTCCCAAATATGGTTGATTTTTTATGTGCATATAATCTCTATTCTAAACAGCGGATTTATTTTGCATGTATTACCCCCCCCCCCCAATTTCCATGACTTGTGGCTGTTGTGATCACGCATGGCAGTGCATGTGTCCTTATTCAGTTTCTGTTAAATAATGGGGTAACACAAGTAAAAATACTGTAAATAACTTTTAAAAAAGGAGAGAGTCTGACTCACTGGAAGTAGCAGTTCTTGCATTTATCCAACGTCAATCAGTAGGGAAAAAAATTTGGAATGGCCAAATTACCCATGTAGCAAACTCTCAACTCAAAACTGGATTACTTGAAAATCTGTTTGCCTCAAAGTCACACCTTGCCATATAAATAGGATATAAAGTGCAGCTTTGATATAATTATCACAATGGAGCCTTCTCTTTTTAGGACAGGTACATGTACATGTATGTTATCACTTTCTGATGGCTGTCATAAAATTTTAAGGGAAAATCAGTGCTGCTCATAGGCCTACAGGTGCATGTACATGTACATAGGTCTACAGGTACATGTATATGGATCTCTTACCAATATGAGGTCAACTTCTATCATATTCACCCTCCTTCTCTTACAACATATGGCCTTGGGTATCCCCAGAACCATGGGCTCCAACACCTGCACCGCTCCCACGTGGGACAACGTAGGAGTGGGGCGCCAGACGTCAGACCCATGGTTCTGGGGGTAGTCCGAGTAACTTGGACTCCACAAATCTCTGATTCTCACTTGATACTAAGCTGAGCGTATTAGACAGTTTAGGGACCACTTTGGAGGTGAAATTAGAGGATTTTGCTTCAGGGTACCAGCTATTTTGAATAATGGGATGGAAAGCCTATACCTGTGCTTACACCCTACTTTTACCTGAACATGTTCGAATATCAAAAAAGGCCATCTGTAGAGTCCCAGTTACTTGGACAATTCTAGGGGTGCATGTACATAGGTCCTTGGCTCTACTGAGCGGAGCGTTAGTATTCCTCTTTTTCTAATTTTGTACTGAATCGGTCATGCTAACGCTCTGTGACACTACATGTACATATAGTGGAGTGACAACGGTTTTCAAAAATTCCAAATGCTCATTAATAATACATGGCTTCCTTAAAAGCCAAAGGCCAACTGTTGGGGTTTCAGTGCTATTTTGGACATCAAAATCTGTCAAATTTCTACCGTTTTCATTCCACATCCATACATGTATGGCTGTGCCGAATATCCCGATCCATATTCAATCGAGTATCGAGTATTCAAATATTGTTTTCCGAATTTGAATATTCATGAAAACGAAGGGAGAATTATCTTTTGTTGTAAATGAGAAAAAATGCATTATAGAGGCTTTGTTTCAAGCAGATTCAAATAAATAGCATCAGAAATCTTACAACCATTCAAAAAGTAAATTATTCATTTAAAATTTTAGAGGACAAAAGTACTGCTGGTCTCTAAATCTTGCTAAATTGTGGCTGGAGATACTCCTAGACAAGCTATTATAGTGATAATAATGTAAAATTGAGTGCATTAATGCAACTGAAGTTTAGGAGTGCTACCAACGACTGTTTCATGGTTGGCATGTCTTGTGTCCTGACTACATATAGGCCACTCCTGCATGTTTCATTAGAAGACCATGTTCCTCCATTGAGTTATTGCACTGTCAGCAAAATCTAGGCACACGTACATGTATGTATTTGAATGGGAGGAGGCCTCAAAAAGTTTAAGTGTTGTGCGTGTGTGGAGCAAAAACGGTCGAATTTTGACAGATTCTTGAAGTCCGAAATATCACTGAAGCCACAACAGTTGGCCTTTGGCTTTTATTAGGAAGCAAGTAAGCCTACATGTATTTCCAGCACTGTACGGTTTGTATCCGGTTCAAAAGTGTGACGTCACTCCAGTTTAAACCACACGCACTGCTCATGAACTGCACATAGAGTTACAGTATTGATTGTCGTTTACTAGAACCATGGAACCGGAATTATCTCTAGCAGCGTAGCGATCTGCAGCCATCTTGCCTTCTCATGGAGCTTGGACTGTACCATTTAGGTGTGGGTATGCAGGTAATGCCATAAACAACAGAGGGTACAAACCGGCAGCTAAAGATGGTTTGTGCATTGCTTGGATCATGTTGTGAGTAGAATTTTGTAAATTTCAAATAATTTGTTTATTTTTATGTTTAACTACGATCATTTCCCATGATGAAATCTATACATTTTGTGGATGATCCGACTGTACTAAATTTCTTCATCACATAATATTACCACCCCTGTAGCGCAATGGTATGGTCCCAGCTGCCCAAGAGGCAACATGGCTGCCGATTTCTGAGCTGATGAGAGGGAGGTGATTTCGGCAAAATTAAAACGGCAATTTGCCAGAGTTTAACCCGTTGATTTTTAGCCAAAATATCCTTTCGGCAAACACTTGTCTATACTGTTGAATACTGCTTCTTTTGTTTTTTTAATGTGGTTTGGTGGTGTTGGGGCTGTGTTGACGCTGTGTTCACGGTGTGTAACGGTCCGTTGCGTGTTGACGGTGTGCTGACGGTAATTGGTATGACCGTTAACATGCATGTCCATACCATGCTCCATACCCATGCTGTGGGCGAACTGTACACTAGCAAAGTACGCGCACAACTTATTACTAAGCAATACTGTCAGCGTCACAATATGAATTATGAATCTACGGCACCTGTCAGGTGCCTTGACTTCCAGCGCACGAAGCGCTGTTTTGTTTTTCACAATGGCGATGCTCATGATCAGCATATAAATAACACAGGCCAGATTGTTCAAGGTGCAGTATATCGGAAAATATTCCGTTTGAGAAAGCTTTAGGGTGCTCATGTAAAAGTCCAAACTCTGAGGAATATGTTGATGTAAGAAAACTTGTCAAGGCATTCTCATTTCCGAAGATACTATTAAATGTAGGCATGTAGTTAGGATTCAAAGTTTGTGACAATCCTGCAGTTTGGATTTCAGACATTAAAGTCGTGCCTTGAAGTTGGGCTGTGATGGCGAAAGATGAGACAGATTTCAAAAGAGAGCCATCCACAGCCCTACGCGTGGGGCTACACCGATCCAGTCCAAAATTCGAAAAAGATGTACGTATATACTACTTTATACGCTCCACTCACTCATGTCAGTAGCTCGTCCTTTGCGTTCTCGTGGGCCTAGCACATTACTTTAAATAATAATGCATTATTTATAACACAGGAACAGCAACAACATCAGAAGACAACTTATTAATTAAATTGTTTTAAACAATAAATACCTTTGAAGCTGTTTCCTCTCAGTCAGAGTTTAAAGTCCAAAGTATTTAAGTAACGAAGATCGAATGTTTACAATCGGTATGCACAATTGGCTGCTCATTTAGGTGATTCACCGTAGCTCCGCCTGACGGCGTCGGTCGTTGCTGTACACCAAATGGTGATCGCTGGTACACTTAGGTATTTGAACGTGGCCGCACGGGAAGGGAACCAGTGAAATTTATAACAAGTGAGTCACGTGACTCAAGCACCTGTTGCCTCCAATAAAAAAGCTACACGCCAAAAGAGGGCGGCGTTTCAGTTTAACGGTGATCGATGGTTGCAGGCAAGCAAATAAACTGCTATAGCCAACATTGATAATACATGAACTCAAGTTCCAAAAATCAGAAGAAGTACGCGTTTCTCGGGCGTTTGAGACAAATTAAAGCCCACTTTATGATTTTCCATTTTCTTTTGAAATTTCCATTCATTAACCGAAGACTTCGGAAGATATTTATTTCCATGGAAAGTCACCCCTAAAATGTAGTCTTGAAGCATCTTGCCATTTTGAAATATCGATGCCTACACTTCTCGAAAATTACTATATCGTTTTCAGGCACCGATTTCTTCCAAATCTCACTCAGACGCAAGCCGGTGTTCTCTTTGCCCGCCTAAACTTCTCTTCTCTACAAATCTTAAGTTCATGGGCCACAAAATGCTCTATTTCGTAAAGAATCATGGTGCATTCAATTATTGTGATTTAGCCAGCTCAGGCAGTTTTTGGCCTTTTTACTTACCTGCATCCTTTAGTAAACCCCAGTTTTTACAGTTTCCCCCAAAACGTGTAAAACAGAGGGAAACGAGGTTCCAAATTCGATTTCAGGTGAACAATTTGAAGAGGTTGTTTCTCATCCAGGTTATGGGCCTATGACCTTGAGTAGGGCTGATAGTGCAGACGTGTAGTTTGGCTATTAGGCTAACATCTGTGAATTTCCAACTTTTTTAACTGCTGGAAATTATCGCTTGTGACTGGAAACTACGGTTACTTTCTGTTGATCAGGGTTAGATTTGGCCAACTATTGATTCGAAATTCGCACACAGGTTTTTCTCTTGACTGGGAGGGTGCAGTACAGTACTCATGTTTTGAAACTCAGACTCTACGCTGGACCATTAATCAGAGTTTGAGTTTCAGAATGTGGGCAAGCAGCCCATCACTCTCCTGTCTTGTAATGCCATATTACACCCACCAGTCAAAATATTTGAATTGGTCAAAAGTTGTTGCCAGTGGTTGTTTCCCAATCCATCAGGCGTGAACATGGAGATGACATTTGCTCAAGATACAACATGGTGCTAACTTCAAAAAAGGGAATTTCATCCACAATTATATGTTTTAGAACAAAATAACGATTCCTCAAAAAGAAAATTACACGTCTGAGAAAAGGTACTTCCGAGTGGTTTCTCAACTTGAGTGCCAGTACTATCAAAAACAAAGCTGTCCGTTATATGTACGTGATTACTTTATTCTTCCCGAATGTGCCACCCCTGGATCTTTTCTGAACCACAAACAATCACGTTACTTCTTTTACATTGAGATCACTTAGAAGAAATGAAACCCGCACACCGTTGGGATCACTTTTATTGTCGAAAATGCAGAAAATTAGGATTACAAATGAAATAGATCAGCATCAATCCTTTAAATTACTGTATTCAAACCTGGATAATTGCCTTGTGGGTTCTGCGCCCAGGGACTTGAAAAAAAATGTGGTGAGGGAAAAATCCAAAAGTTATGCGGTGTTGACCAAGCATTCAGGCGCACGGACTCCTGAAATTCGCTACGAATCACAGTTACCGGCTTCCATAT